ACGAGGCAATTAGCGTAAGCAATACACTGCTACCACACGTCCAAAAACATTTACCTAATTATACTTTTCTTATATACCTACTTTCAATCTCGGCTATATCAATTTTATTATAGATGAAAGTTGACAAACGAGAATATAGCCTATTCGATAATAAGTTATCTGTAAATACGTTGTCATCCATAAAGAATAAGATGAAATATCCCGATACCAGTGAAAAATACCTGAGGTTGTCGTTATCCACCATATTTACTATAAATGCTATTGTTTTGAAATGATATCACTTTAGCTAGAATTCAAACTCTCATAAATATAAAAAATCATACTTACGAACACAAAAATATTAAATGACACTATTATTAGAGTGTAAGAGAATGAATATGTGACCTTTTAAAAATTCAACATTACCTACACCTTGCGGCCTATGCTCTAAAAAAGCTGTCTGATGGCTAAAATCAATTTCATTATATAGCATCCAAATCTTTACTGGTGATGAAAAGCAGAACAATCAGTGTTAGAGTTTCGACATTGCGATAGGCGTGATAAATTGTAGGAAGTTCTATGATCACTTGTAGACTTCAAAGGCTGACGACGATCAAGACGCGCGCTTTTATTTTGTACTAGTTGTTCCCGCGACTTCGCCCGCGTGTAGTTTATTACGATTGGATTTCTTGGGGTTTTAATTTTTTTTTGGCCCAACCCTAATTCGTTTTCTAAAATAAAAGTAGCTTAAATTACTCCTTATAATATCAGATATCTGCCAGTGAAAGTCCGGTCGAAGTCGGTCTAGCCGTTTCGGAGATTAGCCGGAACAAACAGACGCACGGACAGAAAGACAGACAAAAATTTTAAAAATTGTGTTTTTGTTGTAAGTACCGTATGTACTTTCATAGGTATGCATTTAGTAAAAAGCTGATATTTTGACATTACAAACAGACACTTCAATTTTATTTATTTGTATAGATGTAAAATACTTTTTGTTTTATTTATTTTTAAGAATAAGCCGTTTATATTTGGCTTTTGTTTTATACTACAAGGTCTACATCGGGTCTTATTACCGACCGGTCTCGCTCCACATAACCACAGAATAAGAATAAAAATGTCGAGAATTTAGATGTAGGTCTCGGTTCCAATTTTCATGCGCAGTGTTCGACCGAGTTAGACTGAAGATAGCAAATTATCTTGTGTTATACTAGTAGTTGGCTGTCGACGTCTAATTAAACTGTAATTAATTTTCTTTATTTCCATACTAACGGAACGAAATGAGAAAAAGATATGACTAAGGCAATTAAAAGATTTAGATTTGGAAAGTCAGAAGTTACTTGTCATTAAAACAAAAATAGATTCCAAATTAAATTAAAAAAGGTTGCAAGTTTGCAATCTTATTTTATTTTAATTAATAACAATCATGTTACACGAATTTCAGTTAATAAATTTAACAACACAATGGAAATGGTCCATCTGCCGTACTGTAGTATTCTCATGTGCCATACTACTCATAATATTTTCGTATATTTGTATATATTTATATTACTAAGAAACGAATGAGATAGTTTCCAGTCCATCGGAGACCACAACATTTTCTCGCCACTCTCCTAACAGAGTTTGTATATAATATATTAAAATATTGTGTATGTAATAAAAAAAAACAATTTAAAATAAATTGCTCTTGCTCAACTTGCTCAATTCTCTCATTCGTTTATTTATATAGTTTGGAACTTCTTCCTACGTGCCAAATTTTATAATTCGGCACGGTCCGGTGATAGAATACGTACAGTTTCATAATTCAACATGTGCATAGATAAATATATATGTAGCAAGCTAAACATGTGGGTTTAGAATTTCTCACACTTTAACAGCCCACAAACAAAAATGGCGAAATTTAATTTAAACTATTTTTTCTAAATATTTTGTTACTTATTATACAGATAAAATTCACTCTCACAGATGACAAATTTATAACAACACCATCTATAATTTTTTACTGTATTAATAACAGCTATCTTTTGCACTGTACACGTTTAAACCGAAAGATGTCGTTTGGTTGCTATAGTCACCATGGACAGGTGAGGAAATAATTTTTTTGGGTATTGTAGTCACCGTGGACGGTTGAGTTGATAATTCTACATGTGGTTTTAAATCCGGTCTGTACTCTTCAATAGATTATAATAGGTACCCTTTTGTGGTCTAAGGAATAATCACAATTCTAGAATATCGTCGAAATATTTAAATTGAAGTCTTCGTTCTCTATCTTTCCACGCCTGAGTATGAAATTTTTTCTCCTAATTTATATATATCCTATCTAATGAAAAATAATCTTTAAAATCGGTTCAGCTGTTTTTGAGAAATTGGTAATCATATATAAAAATACATCGTCGCGTCGAATATAGAACATTCTCGTATTTTGAAACCAGTAAATAATATCCAATTTTTATTTTTAAAAACTTATTATTACTATAAATTGTTCAAGAACACACATCCAAACCCGGAACAATATTTGTAGGCCATATAAATAATTGTTCCGTGTGGGAATCGAACCGGTGACCCCTGCGCTGCAACTTATTGCTAAGCCACTGCGCCACGGAGCCGTCAATTATTAATAACTAACTTTGTAGATACGAATAAAGATTATATTTTGTATATATTATACAGATTATGTACTATATGAGAGAGATTATTTTTAAACATTGCTAAAAGTGCGGTTAAAACTAGAGGATGGTAAGTGTCAGGGCTCCAGTCCTACTCACATTTTTTTATAGGATAGGGTGACAAACAAGCACACAATCCACCTGATGGTAAGTGGTTGCTGTGATCCATAGACATTCACATCTATCCTCAATAAAGAATCAAAATGCAGATGCGTTGTAATGTTGTAAAATTGACCTTATTTTATAAATACGTAAACACCGGTGCTAAAAATTCTATTCAGTTATCGTCTTAATATTGCTAGAAAGTTACTCATTCGCTGATAGTTGTACACTTTATCACCCACATCAGATTCTCACAGTCAGAAACCGTTTAAATATGCAAGAATGTTATACATCGTCACACGAATCGTGCTAACTTGTCACATTCAACCGCGATCGCTAACTCGTTGTGAACAAATCTGTGCGTAAAACGCGTTCGTCTGCTTTCACCTGCAGCGAGATGATTTCGACAACGGGTATTCGTTCTTTTACGTCGCGGCGTGAGTTAATCGAAACATATGACGTAGGTGCCGCTACGCCTAAATATTTCTTTCATAGCAAAATAGTTCACTTAAATAAAAAATAAATATATGTATTTCTTAATAGACATGACAATTGACAAATACGCTTCGCGTTCAATGGATATGAGATTTTACTGTATATTTAAAAAATATAAAAATCTTAAACAGATCTAAAAACCCAAAAAAGAAATAGTTATTTAAGATTTTCGCGATTTCAAAAATGGATATGGTAATTTTTAAAATTGCAGAATAGTTGGCATTTGGACATTACATATTACGGGTACATTAAGAGCAGGTGAGGTTGTCATTTGAATATTGAGTTACGTAATGAATCTGTAATTAACAAAGGAGAATCTGCTAAATGACAATTGGCGATAACATATCCTTTCGAAAATGTCTATCTTAAAAGCATTTATTTATTTATTTATTTAAACTTCGTTGCACAAAAATGTACAAAGGCGGACACAAGGCATCTTATGCAACATCGGTTTAAAAAGGCTACCTAAATAGCGGGTCATTCCCAACACGAGTATCCTCTGATTAATCACTGGGAAGTCTCAGCAATATGTTGTGAACAATATTACCGAAATAAACGCATTTTTTTATAGGATGAGGGTGACAAGCGGGCACACAGTCCACCTGATGGTTAACGTGGTAGAGCCATGCTTCAGCTATATTATTGGTATAGTTGCAGCACGAATGGGTCGGCTCGACCGGGGAAGGACCACGCTCTCACAGAATACCAGCGTAAAATAGCAACTTAACACTGCTGTGTTTCGTATGGTAAGTGTAGAGAACCGAAGACCCCTTTTACTGGAAACGAGGCACTCCGTCTTCGTCCTCATGAGTGACAACACATCTGCATTTTAATTCATAATCGAGGATAGATGTAAATATCTATGGGCCACAGCAACCACTTACCATCACGTGGACTGTGTGCTCGTTTGTCACCCATATCCTATAAAAATAAAAAAGTAAAAAAAGTGGTTTCTGAGGCCCATAGACATCTACATCTATCTTCTTTGGCGAATCAAAACGCAGATGCGTTGTTAGCTTTCTATTTTTTGGACTAATAATTGATGGAAAAGCTCAATAACTGATTTTTTTGCCACAATTTCCCGTTTATAGTATTCAAAAAGGTTGGGTTTGAAGCCGGTCCCAGTAGCACATTGTAGGTATATTAGCCTAAGAATCTGCATGAAGAATTTTCTCATTTTATTTGGATTTACTGGTGCTCATACGTAGTGGAGCCACGCTGCAGCTATATTATATAGTTATAGCGCGAATGGGTCAACTCGACCGGGGTAGGACCACGCCCTCACAGAAAACCAGCTTAATATTGCAGCTTAACGCTGCTGTGTTTCTTATGGTGAGTGTAGAAAAGCGGATACCAATTTCACTGGAAACGAGACATTCCATCTTAGTCCTCATGGGTGACAACGTAGCTGTATTTTGATTCTTAATTGAGGATAAATGTAGATGTCTATGGGAAACAGCATCTATTTACCATCAGATGGACTGTAAGCTTGTTTATCACCCTTATTCTATAAAAAAAAGACACGATATATCTTTTTTTATTTTGAATTTTTTTGGCTAGGTAGTCTTCTTATATATATAAAGTTATAAAAGTAAGCTGGCTTGTTAACCAATGATGTAAGTGGAATGTGGTGATTCATGGTTAAAACCATTAAAAAATTTGTTGTACTTATCTCACAAGATCTGCAACCAGCGACCTGTTTAATTAACCTTGCCGACATGTGATATTTGATTCTAATTTAAATATTTTATTTTTCAGATTTCCTGGTCCATCATTCGTAATATCATTTGGTAAGATTATTAACACAGTAATCTAGAAATATATTGATTGCGAATCTTTGAACTGAATACATTTGAAATTGTATAAATTATACTAATTTTTAAAAGGTTAGGATTGATTGGGGATCATAAAAATTAATGAAATTCATCAAACGGTAAATGACGGTGATATGTCAACATTGCTTTTACGTATATTATATTGTAATATCCTTTTAAGGCACTATCTGACACTACAATAGAAGGAAATATTCTTCTACGCTTAAATAGTTTTTAAGATAAGTAAGTTATGTCGTTTAAAATTATAACGCGACAAAATTCGATTTCACGGTAATGAAGTGTAACGAGTAATGTAAATTGTACCATTTTTTTTTTCAAATAAAAACTGCATTCTCAATATTGCTCGGTTGTCAACTTCTCATTGAACTTGAACTACTTAAAGCGAAATGTGTTGCTAATATAGTAAATATTCATACAACTACACGTACGTACCCTATAGTCGCCTCTTTTTATCCTATGAAACGCTCCATCGAATAAACTGGGGAATGGTCGAAAAAGACATTTTCAAGGCAACTAATTGTTTTGTTTGTAATTAAATAAGACTTCTTAGTGGTGTATTGTCTGAAAAATAACCCGCATGGCATTGAACTTATCAGTAGCAATTAACCTTCAAAGAATACATTTTAAATTTGAGAAATAAAACCTTTTTTATTACAATGATTACGAAAATAATTTAGCTGTGTTGCAGGTTAAATTACAAAATCGCAAACTGTAAACGATATTACTATCTACGATATTATACTATAAGATTACGCACTCTCAGTAATTTACATGCTGACATTATTTTAACATTACAGTAAAATAAATTTGAATGTAGAAAATACTTTAAATCGAGAACAATGTGTAAAACGCGTGGTTGTTACTCGACTGCCCCAGAAGAAAGATAATATATTTGAGAGCATGTACGTATGTATGTATATATGTATGTATATGTATGTATGTCTATTTTTTTGGCTCGCTCTGTAGCCTAAACGGCTTAATGGATTTTAAAACATGAAGTGTCTTTAGAGTCTTTAGATAGGGGTATAATTTTTTTTTTTACAGTAAATTAATTTACGCAGTCGGGTTTCTTTTTTATTGTTTTAACCTTTGAACTCGTTTATCTAATGTACTCTGTAAGAAAGTAAAATGTAATAACATTTTGAAAGATATACTCGCTAGCATTTTTGTGGTTATGTCATGATTTACTGCTTGACGTTATAAACACGTTTGTTTGAAAACGTGTGAAATGCAAACACTGGGGAAAGTCTTTTCTCTCCTTCAGCAAACCACAAAACTTTTGCGCGAAATTAAATGACGTTATTGCATGCCAGTTATTACTTACAATAAAAATATTAATGATCTTTATTTCTTCGACATAAAAATTTTAAATTTCGTTTGTCAAACGTATTTTTTGCACACTATTATTCGTAGCTTGTATTGTATGTATCAATGTAAGTGAATATTTCAATTAAATTTTCAACTTATAATCTCTAAATAATCTGAAATTATAAAGACATAATAAGAGCCGACAACACCACAATAATTTCATGGCTATGGCCTACTATTCTCACTAGAATCATTACTGGTCACGATCAATACGTGATGTATAAGATATCTTAAACTCTAATATCATTTAATGTACTTTGACGTTTTAATATACGGTTTCTCTAACTGGGGACGAAACATACGAAAGTAGAATTTGTCACTATGTTGTATATTTACAGCGCATTCCTAAAAATATTTGAAGTAGCTTTTTATGATAAATATATAATATTATCTTTAAGTTTACAGCAACTACTACCTATTTTTTTAAATTAAGGATAAACTGTATTCTAAATATATCTAATATAACGGCCGGCCTTCTAGCTCGAAGAACTAGAACCGATGGAGAAAACGAATAACTGACAACCGAGGGAGAAAAAAGGTATTCTACTATTTGGAGTGACGACCTGGTAAGACATGGATATCGTTGGAGCAGGTGGCTCTGGACAGGCATTTTTGGGAAGGCTTAAGTTCAATAATGATGACGATGATGATAATTCCTATGATAAACGGACCTTTGGGCGAGTAACTTTGTGCTCTTGGCTTCGATATTTATAAATGTTGTTACATCATCATCATTACAGCCTTTCACAAGTACACTGCTGAACATAGGCCTCACCCAAGGAATGCCACAAAGCACGGTTCTGAGTCACCTACATCCATCGACTTTTGGCATGTCTTACCATGTCGTCACTCCATCTAGTTGGGGGACGTATTACACATCTACAGGTATGAGGCTACCATCCGAGAACCTTTCTTTCCCATCGGTTGTCGGTTCTTCGAGCTATATGGCCGACCCATTGCCAGTTTAGCTTACTAATCCGGAATTTCACACATGTTAAATTTAATAAGAATAAGTTGCCAGAATCTGTGTTTCCATTCGATTACAATGTGGCTTTTGTTAAGTCCGTGCGCTTCACCATCTTAGGCTTTTTTATATAGGATATGGGTGACAAACGAGCACACAGTCCATTTGATGGTAAGTGTTTGCTGCGGCGCAAAGATATCTATCGATCCTCGATTACAAATCAAAATGCAGATGCGCTGTCACCCGTGAGGACTAAGATGGAATGCCTCATTTCCAGTAAAAAGGTTCTCCGGTTCTCTAAACTCACCATACGAAACACAGCAGCGTTAAGCTGCTATTTTACGCTGGTATTCTGTGAGAGCGTGGTTCTTCCCCGGTCGAGCTGACCCATTGCTACAAGTATACTACTAATATAGCGGCAGCATGGCTCTACCACTACTGCATCACCACTTACCATCAGGTGGGGTTGTAGTTAAGCGCTGGCTTAGAATAATAATAAAACAAAATTTAAATCTTATTTATGTTAAATTTATTTACCTATATGTTAAAGTAGTTTATTGAAATTGTATAAAAATAATTATGTCCACCTTGGCACGTATACGAAGGCTGTCGCAAGGTATTTATCAAAAAGATGTCATTTTGTATAAAAAGCTTGAGTAAACTATTGCGGGGCGTTAAGCAAGCAAATTTAAAATAATAGGGTTTGAGTAACTTTTATGTCAGTCTAACATTTTGTACAAATTGCTTTTTAATGTAGGTATTCGGTTCATTTTTAGAGTTCCGTACAATAACAAAAAAAAAACGGAGCCCTTATATAATATCTCTTTGTATCCGTCTGTCAATATTCTTTTCTCAGGAAAGTGTTGAGGTATTAAGTAGAATTAATAAAAAAAATCTAAATTATATGGGCCTTCCCCGGTCGAGCCGACCCATTCGTACTACAACTATACTATTGATATAGCTGCAGCATGGCTCTATCTCGTGAAAAATATTTCTTTGATATTTTACATTTGCAAATGGAGCATCTACCTGATGTAAACCCATGTATGTCATTAATATGGGAGAATATTTTGTACTTAATTCCGAGCAGCATTATAATATATAATTCAAGTCCACTACCTTTCAAGAACGATCATATATCAATGTTTAATAAGTTTGGTTATACGCAATATACTAGATAGTATATTATAATGCCGTAAGGTGAAACCGATCGCCTCATGGCATCATATTGTTTTATTATAGTGACAAAAAGTATAAATGAACGAAGTACATGCGTAAATCAAAGTCACAATTCAACAATATTACAAGTAATTGATTAAAGTCCCATAAAATGAATTCAGTAACTGAAATAAACATGGAGTTGTCTTAAATAATGAAAATTTAAACTAGTTTAAGCGTTATAATTCTTGATCAAACAAATTTTAACGTTAAGCCACTTTTTCCTGTATGGTGCGTTTAAATCTTGTTATCGATAAGATCTCGCTGCTTGCCTCTTAAATATTTGATCAAATTTTGGAAAATCTACGCATAATTTTACCACATGACAAGAAATACACTTCAGTTTCTTCTTCATTCACTTCGTACCGTATAGTATGTCGTATGATGATACGACACGACATATATTTATTATAAAAAAAATTCTAAAAATTACCAATAGATTTATGTTGTTACGTAATAAATGTCTACGTCTCGTAATTTATTTATTACTTATTATCAGTCTAAGAACTCTCGAATGGACATCGGGCAGTTAAGAATCACTGACTACATTCTGTGCTATCAGAGACGATTACCATAATGCGAGTATGCTTGGAATATCAAAACAGATGAACGTGGGAATGCTTCGACCCAAATTACTTGCTCTTGGAAATCGTAAAAGAAAATGGAAAACATTTTACTTTATAATTCATATCATGTTGATATAAGTGAAATTGTGATGTCGTATAAAAATATATATGGAATAAATTTCTATAAAATTGTTCTTCGTTAGCTTATGTTGGTTGACTTCACATGTCTTCAGAATATTTTTAAATTCTTAAACATGCGGGTTTCTTCACGATTTTTATGTTCATTTCAGCACTCAGGACTAATTTTTGTCCCGTTGCTGTACAACACAATACAATACTCTTTATTGTACATCAAGGAAAGGTAAAATTTACGAAAAAAAAACTATTGAGGGAAATACAAAGAGCTACATAGCAATCTCTTCCAGACAACCCAGAAGAAGAAATAAATAAAAATAAGAAAAAGAACAGGGTGCACTAAAATAAAAAATATACAAAATTTTACACTAAAAAGACAACATTCTTTAGATAGATCAATGACCATGATCAATGGTGCATTATGTTTCAACCGTACATTTCTGCTGGCGTTAATGTTTTACGCACATCAATCGTTACAGTTCGACAAATATAAAAACTATGTTAGTTCCAGTAACGCGAACTCTCTAACATAATTTTATTTGTCATATACAACATTTAACATAGTATAACATTTGTTTATATTTTAATATAAACTGTTTTAAAATAAAGAGGGACACCTATGCTCAGCAGTGTGTTTTTGATAAGTTTAAGATTCAAAAAAAAAACTAGTTCGTTTTAATTATAATGCAATAATGGATAGATAT